TCCCGCTGCAGCTCCTGTGCCCACGCCTGTGCCGCATGGCCTGCTTCCCGCACACCCGTGTCCCAGCGCGTGGACAGCGGCCCGCAGGCTGCATGCTGCTCAGTGTCAACGTGGTCAGAGAGCCACTCCCATGGAGACCCCTCACTCCTGACAGGCCTTTCCCGGCGGCCCTGGTGGCAGGTGTATGTGTATGTCACGGGAACTAAATAAGATGACGTTGCTTCTCATATCACCGCAACCTGAATGTGTGTTCATATTTTTTGTTAAGTTTTAGCCAAAATGTTCAAGATCCCAACAAACTTTATTTTCTGAACCTGCCTCCTCTCTGTTGTGTGTCTTTTATTGAAGCAGCGAGGGAAGGAGGCGGCCGGGAGGGAGACGGCGGGGCCTCCCGTAACTGCTGTGTTCTCGCCCAGACAGCGGCCTCACCCAGGGACACGGCCCGTGGGGGGTGCGGGGGGGTTCCCTTCTGAAAAGAGGAGTCCCTGTTGTCTCCCGCCACCCAGAGCTACCCCGCAGAAGGGTCTGGCAAAAGCGACCTTAGGCTGAGGCTGGCCGCCCTGCTGCACCGAGTGCTCCCCTGCCCCCTCACAGTGAGGCCTCCTCACGTTGGCCAGCCGGCCGGGCCCCAGTTTGGCCCCACGGTGCCATCCTGGAGGTGGCCATTGTGCACCCAACCCACAGGCCCAGGAGGGTGGTGGGGGCTCAACATTGCACACGCGGGAGGCGGAGGCCTCCGGAAGGGGAGGAGCGGCTGTGGGGCCGCGGCCCAGGGAAGGGGCTCTGCCTGACGGGCCGCCGCCTGGCCGTCTGCCCCGGGAGGCGTTGCCGGAGATGCACGTTAGGGTCCTCCCTGTGCCAGGGACACGCCAGGCCCTTTGGCTTAATCAGTGTTTCCTCTGAGAAGGAAAAGAAACCCTCAACGTCTTCGCACGCTGTCCTTCAGAATTTACTTAACTCCTTAAAAAGCTTCGAAAACAAAGCCGGGAGCTGAATTTTATGGGAAGGGGAAAATGGCTGATTCCAAGTGAAAGGAAACTCCCACTGCTGCCTCTCGAGAAGCCCCAAACGAGAGTGGGCTGAGCCCCCACGAGCCCCTCCCCTGGGGTCAGTCGGAGTTGAGGGTGAGGCACACGCCCTGCAGCACCCAGTGGGAGATGTGCCTTGTGGTGAAGAGGTCGGCCTCGAAGACCAGGCCCACGCCCATGGCGTTCCTCCTGGTGGAGGTGGTGTAGACGGGCGTCCGGAAGGTGTTCTGCAAAGGAGAGGCATGCGGGGTCGGGGGAGCCCATCACCGGGGGTGGGGGCAGGGGGCCTCGGCCTCGGGGCTCTGCAGCGGGCCATCCTGCGAGACGCATCTAAGCCAGCACGTGGCCGGGCTTTGAGGGCGGTCCTGCCCTAACTTAGCCCCAGATTAACGTGGACACGCGTGTTTGGAGGAGACCTGGGCCAGCGAAGCAGGCGGCGGCTGCTCGCACCAGCTGGACTGACCCAGCACTGCCGCAGACTCCCCGGGAGCCCGCAGTCCCTCCTGAGACGCCTGCCCCACCCAAGTCTGCGTGCACGCGTGTGCTCACGTGCGTTTTCCTGGGCAGTGGCTCCACGCGGGTATCATGCCTCACGGGCTTCCCCTCCCAGGAAAGGGTAGGCTGCCTGGCCTGTGCCTGCCACCGGGGGTAGGGGGTGGGGTGGAGTGCGGGCGGCCGCCCACCTGCAGTTTGAGGCGGTGGGCCTCGATGGGGATGATCTTCAGGATGGGCAGGTCCACCACCAGCACCTTGGGCTTGCTCTTGACCAGACAGCCTCTCTCTAGGTCCCAGTCCGCGCCTTCCAGGTACAGTCCTGACACAAAGCACCCTAGGGAGGCAGGAAGGGACCGTCACGCAGAGGCACAGGCATGTGTGTCGCACAGACGGGGAGCGTGCCCGAGCCTTCACCACGAGTCCCCTCGGAGCTGAGGGAAACGCCCCTGACGCAGACACTGGGCCCGGAGGGAGACAGCGGTGTCAGCTGCACCGCAGGCCGGGACCCGAGTCGGAGGCAGGCGACGCCCAGCCGAATGCGACGGTCCTGTCTAGCCCATCCGCTCTGGCCCGACCTCAGGGTTTGCAGGGAGGTCACTCGGTGACCCATCCTCTGAAAGGTCTGACGCTGACTGGGGAGTCCACTCCACACAGAAGGAAAGGTGAGCGCGTCCAGGTCTCCCCGACATCACCCAGGACTCGACAGAGACCCTGGCGGAGAAGCGATGTGCCCTGGGCGTGTCCCCCCACACGGCCCGGCCCGCTGCTCCTCCCTCAGAATCGGAGGCGGCACCACGCAGGGACCCCACAGAGACTGCTGCACCTTGTCCTGCCCGCTCAGTCACTTCGTCTGCGTCCTGGAACTTGGTCACTTGCGTGAACAGGGTGGAGCGGTCCAGGGGCCAGCCGTTCCGCCGGCAGGTGGCCTGCACCAGGGCCGTGAGGTAGGATTCCGGGACGTGCAGCCCCGAGAGCCACATCACGTTGGGCTCGCTTTCCACGACCTGCAGAGCAGAGGGGCAGCTGCGTCAGATGTTGGTCAAAGCTGGCGGACCCTGCGCTCACGGTAAAGACACCGTTCACGTTGGGGCCGGAAGATGGTGATAGGGCCCTGGCAGCCCGTTCGGGAAAAGCAAGCTGCACCACCAAATGCAGAGGAAGCACAGATTCAGAAATCCTATATAAGAAAGAGCTAATATGCTAATTAGACCCAACAGCAGAACGACCATCCAGACGACCGTCCAGACAACCTTCTGGATGAAGCCAGGCTGCGAGGGCCGGCCGAGGCAGCCGGGCTGAGCCCCTTGCACAAATTCCGTGCCTTGGGCCTCTAGTAAAACAATAAGACCACAGAAGTGCAGGTCTTCTCCAGGGAATGTGTCATGCCTCGGAGTAAAGGACACAAACCGGGAGCCATAAGGACAAGACAGACCTATCTGACACCACAGAAATGCAGAGCTGTCCTCGGGAAGAAACACCACGAACCAAAGTCTGAGGGCACGTGGCAGGGAAGGGTCCGTTTCCTTGATGTGCTAAGAACCCTTACAAATCAAGTTCCAAAGATGGAGGATTGGATAAAAGTGAAACCAAAATACAAAAAGACAATTCAGTCCTGGCTGGTTTGGCTCAGTGGATAGAGCCTGTGAACTGAAGGGTCCCGGGTTCAATTCCTGGTCAGGGCACATGCCCAGTTTGCAGGCTCGATCCCTAGTGGGGGTTGTGCAGGAGGCAGCCTATCCATGATTCTCATCATTGATGTTTCTCTCTCTCTCCCCCTCTCCCTCCCTCTCTGAAGTCAATAAAAAATATTTTTTAAAAGGCAATTCACAGAGGAAGTACCACAAACTGTGAGATATACCCAGCCTCCCCCTAACCAAACACATGCACATCCGGACAATCACGTCAGTTTACCGGCCGGGGACAAGACGCGCGAACATTCACACCAGCACCGCGGAGAGCACTCTTGGCCGCCTGCTCCCGACCTCCCCTCCTCCGGGCAAGCGTCAGGGGTTAAAGTGCACGGACTCGGGCCTCGTAGGCATGTGCGGGGAGCAGGCTTGAGTGAGCACCAGGACACGGGCCAGGCTGTCGCCTGTGCCGGCAAAGGGAAACCCCGGTGACCACTTGGATGTCCAGCACGGGGAGGCCCCGGGTGCCCGTACAGTGGGCACCCCCAGAGGAGTGAGGCGGGTCTAGAGGGACTTAGATGGATAGGTGCTGAGACAGACTCTCCAGGGAGTAGGCCGAGCTGTGCCAGCGCCTTCAAGGTCTTCAAACAGGAAAAGGAAGAGACACAGATGTGCGGGCAGAGCACCGTCAGCTGCTGGCAGGGTCAGCACCGGGGCGGGTGGGGCGGGGTCCGCAGGGCACCAGCACCCCCTCACCCAGGACGTGTATTGGCTGAAGCGCCGCAGGAAGTAGAGCATCCAGTTCCCGAGGGACTTCAGGGTGTCGGGGGCCAGCTTCCTCCAGATGTGAGGGATGTTCCCGATGAACAGCGACCTGGCCACGTCGTCCAGCTCGCTGCTCATGC